ATACATAGGATTCTTACTTCTCCATTCCTGTGATGCTTCACTAAGAATAATGTGTTCCACCTCCATCCAGGTTATTACAAATGCTGTAAAATCTTCATTTTTTTGATGGCTGAATAATACTCCATAGTGTACATATACCACAGCTTACCAATCCATTCCTCGGGTGAAGGACATTTAGGCTGTTTCCACGTTTTAGTGATTGTAAATTGGGCTGCCATAAACAGCCTAGTACAAGTGTCTTTATAGTAAAAGGTTTTTTTTTCTGGATAGATGCCCAATAGTGGGATTGCAGGATCAAATGGGAGGTCTAGGTTGAGTTCTTTAAGGTTTCTCCATACTTCCTTCCAATATGGTTGTATTAGTTTGCAGTCCCACCAGCAGTGCAAAAGCGTTCCTTTCTCTCCACATCCACGCCAGCATCTACAATTTTGAAATTTTGTGATATAGGCCATTCTCACTGGGGTTAGGTGATATCTCAGGGTGGTTTTAATTTGCATTTCTCTAATAATTAGAGATAAAGAGCATTTTTTCATATAGTCAGTAGCCATTCGCCTATTGGCTTTAGAGAAGATTCTGTTTATCTCTCTTCCCCACTAATGTATGGGGTTGTTGGGTTTTTCCTTGTAGATTAATTGAAGGCACTAGATTGTTTATCACAGCTCAATTTATAATCACCAAGATGCGGAAACAACCTAAATGCCTATAAACTCAGAAATGGATTAACAAATTATGGTATACGTATACCATGGAATACTATTCACCATTAAAAAGACAGTGGCTTCACATCTTTTGTATTAACCTGGATGGAGAGGAAACACATTCTTCTTAGTAAAGTATCATAAGAATGAAAAAGCAATTATCCAACGTACTCAATACTAATATGAAGCCAGTAGACGATTTAATACATGCCCACATAGGAAAAAAACTCATTTCAATTCAAGCTGAGGAGAGGGAGAATGAGAGAGGGGGAGTGGAGGGCGGCTCCCACTGAATGGGCATAGTGTGGGGGTGTTTGACACACCTTCTGAGTGGGGGACATATCTACAAGAGGGACTCTACCTAACAAATTCAAATATTTTGACCTGGTTGTTTGTATCCACACATTAACCTGAAAAAAAAATTCAAATAGGTTCTTATAAATACAAAGAAAGGCCTCAAAAGTCAAAATAAGGTTAGTAAATGAAACTCTCCATAAAGCCAAATTATCATGATTCAAATAGGTGTATCTGGAGCATGCATCAGTCACACCTAACTTTTGAAGCACTTTCCAGCTCATAGAACACTTTTAAGAGCATTTACTCATGCAGCAGTTAAATTTATTGTGCAATTACATTGTGCCAAGATCTTTGCAAGGCTTCTTTACTCCTTACAGTAATTACACTTTTATGGTTGGTGCTAATTCTGGTCCCATTTTACAGATAAGTAAGCTGAGGCCTAAATGCCTTACGCAGGGTCACATAGCTATGAAGTAGCAGAGCCAGTGTTCAAAGACCTCCCTGACTCCACTCTGAACCATTTTGTGTCTGACCTCTGGCCATTCCTGACAGCCCTTCTCTGATTCATTCCTGATGACTTGTCCTCCATTTTATTCTACTGCAGAGGTTTCAGAATGACAGCTGAAAGCTGGCCGTGGCCTTCAGTTATGTTTGTGTTTTAGGGGACTTCCACAGTTGCATTGTTTTGTTTCAGTTTGGGTTTTTAGCCAATATTTAAAAACCTAGAGGCATTTTTAAAAAATGAGACCTTTGTCTTCTTGAGACAATCTGGGACCTCTGGGCCTTTATTCCTTCAATGTCCTTGTGGAGGTGGGCCCCAAGCAGCTGCTTTTAGCATCCACGTGTGCTCTGGTTTGTGAAGTTCTCCTCTCCTCCCTGCGGTATCTTATCCTCAGCTCCTGTCACCTGCCAGGTCACCATCCCATAGCTTTTGACAGTGCTACCTCAGATTAATATACTTGCCAGTCCTGAGCAAGGTGACCTCACTGTATTGCACACACCTACTTCAGTAAGCAATAATAAAAATGCCCTGATCCCAACACATCTCCTTATCTATTTCTCCCCGTCTTCTCCCCCAAAACCAGATTGCATGTGAAAAAACTGAGTCCTAGAAATCTGAAGAGACTTACTCAATGTCTTTCACTATCTGAGAAGCATAATGAGATTTTAACCCTCATTTCCTAACCAGTCTGGGGCCCTTTCTCTCTTTCCACTGCTTCCCTGAGTCCTACAATTAACATCGTGCATTAGCAACGTAGGCAACCTGCTGCCACTCATAGCTGGTCTTACAGCAGGGCCCATGCCACCCTTGGGAAAGATCCCCTAGGAAGAAGGACAAGGGAAGAGGGACAAGCTGGAACATGGGCATCACATCCGATGAGGGTGCTGGGCAGGTGCCTGGGTATCACCTGGGCAAGGGACGTGGTCCAGGGCAAACATCTCAAATGTTCTGATACCCTCAGCAATGGGACAGAGGGAAAGCAAGTCCAGAAAAAATCAAATCACGGGCTTGGTCACCCCCACAAACCCCCGCCCCTCCCCCTACCACATCTCCTTCCTGCTTTGCAGACCTAAATCAATGCACAGCTACTATTGATTCCAAAAGAACGTAAATGTGTGTGCTTAAAAAGATAACTGCAAGAAAAGAAAAAGGCAAACTCCTGAAAGTTGTTAAAGTACAAAGTAAACCATTATTAGAAAATCAGGCTCGGTGCCTGTAGCTCAAGCGGCTAAGGCGCCAGCCCCATACACCAGTGCTGGTGGGTTCGAATCCAGCCTGGGCCTGCCAAACAGCAATGACAACTGCAACCAAAAAATAGCCAGGCATTGTGGCAGGCACCTGTAGTCTCAGCTACTTGGGAGGCTGAGGCAGGACAATCACTTGAGCCCAAGAGTTGGAGGTTGCTGTGAGCTATGATGCCACAGCACTCTACCGAGGGCGACAGCTTAAGGCTCTGTCTCAAAAAAAAAAAAAGAAGAAAAAGAAGAAAAGGAAATCAACAGAACACTCCATCCTACCATAAAGTTGATTATATACAACGATTATTATTATATTATAAAATTCCTCACTCTGGGAGTATTGTACCTTTAACAAAAATGTCTCACGTTACACGTTGTTTGTCCTTTCCTCCTAGAATGCAAAAGGCTTTTGTGAACTATGGAGAGGCCGCCATGTACAGCCTCGAAACCTGCCCAAACCCCTGGCTGAGGATGCACGCCGTGTGGGGGAGGTAGTACTCATAGCTGTGGCGGTAGGACAACAAAAATAATCCTCACCTGCTCTTCCTTTGCTTCCGGTCCCACAGTTTGGCATGAATGTGTTCTTATTGTGAGCTACCAAACAGCACAGAGAATCCCCCCAGGAGCCCAACCCCAGCCCACTCTTTACTCCATAGCTGATCACTGATGCCTAGATAGTAAATATTCCTCTAGTCTTTTTTTCTCTACAGGGCCACCAATATATGTGTGTGAATGAAAGTATATAATTTGTTTTAAATATTCATGTATATTATTTGGAATAATTTTTGAAAATTTGCTTTTTCATCTAACAATATGGTCCAAATTTTTTTCCACATTGAGAAACATAGCTCTCCCTGGTAGATTTTTTTCTTTTTTTTTTTTTTCCTTTAGTAGAGACAGAGTCTCACTTTGTTGCCCTGGGTAGAGTGCCGTGGCGTCACACAGCTCACAGCAACCTCCAACTGCTGGGCTTAAGCGATTCTCTTGCCTCAGTCTCCCAAGTAGCTGGGACTACAGGCGCCTGCCACAAAGCCTGGCTATTTTACCTCGTCATTTTTTAAGGCTCACAATGTTCCCTGGTGTAGATGTATATCATAGTTGTTTTGTTTTGGTTTTTTGTTATTCCCTTAACGGTGAATATTCAGGTTGATACCTTGCTTGATAAAAAGTTAACAGTGAAGGGGTGGCGCCTGTGGCTCAGGAGTAGGGCACCCGCAGGTTCAAACCTGGGAAAGGAGGTTTCAGGAGGTGGCAGGTTCAAACCTGGCCCCTGCCAAAAAAAAAAAGTTAATAGTGGACTCGGTGCCCGTGGCTCAGTGAGAACTGAGCCTCAGCCACATACACTGAGGCTGACAGGTTCAAGCCCCTCCTGGGCCTGCAAAACAACAATGACAACTACAACCAAAAAATAGCCAGGCGTTATGGCAGGTGCCTGTAGTCCCTGCTACTTGGGAGGCTGAGGCAAGAGAATCACTTAAGCCCAAGAGTTTGAGGTTGCTATGAGCTGTGACACCACAGCACTCTACTGAGAGTGACATAATGAGATTTTGTACTCAAATAGTGTACACAAAATGATTTTTTTCTGTCTCAGCTACTCAGATCATCTTAACAACCTTGTGATGTAGGCAGGGTGGGTTTTTATGGTCCTGGAAATATGAGGTGGAGAAGACTCATACACACAGAATAACACACCCCCCAAGCATAGGTATTGACAGCGGTGGAGCAGAGATTTGATCAAGAACCTAACATTGCACTCTTTCGCAGCAAAGTCCCTCAGAGGTAGTGAGTCAATCCTGTGTCTGCTAAAATCCCTTCTGCAGCTCCCCTCTTGAGATGGATTCCCAGTAGATGATCTTCTGATCAAGAGCCACTCTAATGATCAAGGGTGAGGTCATGTGACAGTAATAATGGATGCCTTACAATTGTGTGTGCATTCTTACCAAGGTTTATCAATTTCTCATGATACTCTGAGTAAATATTTAAGGCAGGAAGGGCCCTTACAGATCACTGTATTCGAACTTGTTCAAATAGAGAAAAATGAAACTCAGAGAGGTCAACCGCGTTGCTCAGGATCACACAGGAATTTAGAGGTAGAACAAGGACTAGAACTCAGAGTCTCTAGCTCCCATCATGACACTGCACCATTTCTCTGGAGGTTTCTCAGTCACTACTGAGGAAAAGTTGAAAACCTTTGGGAAAACATTTTATTTATACTAATGACTTGTCATTTTTAATGTACTAAGAGATACCTGAGGAGCTTGATTAAAAACTGCCCTTTCCGTGTAGGTGACAATCATTAAAGGAAGCCCAAGATGTTAGGTGAAAGGTCATTGGAAACTTTATAAAGGAAGAATGTACCGATATCAACAGACCTCATGTCCTTTTCTTAGTATCTCGTGTTTAGACACAAGACACCCAGACATGGCGTGTCTCATGATGGGCTATAGTAGGGAGTACAGAGTATCCCCTCTGAAATATTCTTGCCAGAAAAATAAAAAACCTCCCTCTAATCAAACCACTAGATCTAACACTAGTTTACCGGAAATGCAAGGAATAGAGGAACCAGATGAATGATGTCATGAGGAAGTCATCAACCAAGTCTAAAAACAACAATGTATTACAGAACAAATGATCTGGTATTTTCAGTAACACCAAAAAAAATAAAGATAGCAAAGGAAAAAGAAACAGGGCAAAGAGAACATAGCAGTTTTAAAAATCTTGTAAGACTTAACGAAATGCAATATGTAGAGGTGTTTGGAAACCAACCGAGACAAATCGGAGAAATCTGAATGTGGGCTGAACATTCGATGATACAAACAGTTGTTCATTTTATAAGGGATAATAATGGTATGATGTCCAAAAAAAAAAAAATAAATAATGGTATGATGATTCCACTTTTTAAGTTCTTATCTATTAGATCCACATACTGAATTATTTTTAGGGGAAATGATTTGAGATCTCTGGTTTGCTACCAATACTCTGGCAAATGAAGTATGTGCGTGGTATAGAAATGAAGAGATAGAAGATTATCAAAAAGTTAACAACTGCTGAAGCTAGAGAGTCATTAAATTATCCTCATTGAGCATATGTTTGAAAATCTTAAAAATAAAATCATGACAAAAACATCATTCTGGAGTCTCATGTGATGCTGCCAAGATTCTAATACAAGAGGCGGATATGAGAACCAGGAGTCTGTATTTTTTAACACAACACCTCAACCAACAAAACAGTTGGTATTACAACTCAATTTTGGACAACACCGATCTAAACATTAGAATCTAAGAAGAGGAACAGAGTTTTCTTCCCTTAAAAAGTAAATGCATCTCCAAATTGGAACACTAAGAATCCAAAAGAATAATGACGATAATGGAGTATAAGGCATTCAATTTTAAAATAATTAACACGATTCTATTGTCGTACCAAAAGAAAGAGAAGGGAAGAAAACATATCTCTTAAATGCCAGCTAATAAATTCAGAAGAAATGACAGATAGAATTAGAAAAGCTCCACCTTGGCACCACTGATGAAATAATTGATTTGGGCAATGAGTGTTCAAACCATTGGTTTGAAGGAAATAGAATGATCATGCCATCTCCGACTTTTACCCCACAGGTTACAAAGGGAAAATGTGCCTTTACAGTGGAGAGAACTAGTAGTTACCACTGCAGTGGAAGAATAGGACTTTAGGTGTCTCCTGCTATAGTGAAACAGAGGCGCTATTGAATTTAATCAGGAGGTTGCAATAGTGCCAGACCACAATGTGGGGTCTTCTGTAAGACAACTAGCCTGGACTCTGAAAAAAAGCCAATATCATGCCTGTACTCCTAGCTCTCTGGGAGGCCAAGGTGAGTGATTGCCTGAGCTCACAGGTTCAAGACCAGCCTGAGCAAGAACAAGACTCCTGCCTCAAAAATAGCCAGGCCTCATGGTGGCACCTGTAGTCCCAGCCACTGGGGAGGCTGAAGCAAGAGAGTCGCTTAAGCCCAAGAGTAAGAGGTTGCTGTGAGCTGTGACACCACAGCGCTCTACTGAGGGCAAGAAAGTGAAACTCTGTCTCAAAAAAAAGCCAATATCCTGAAAAACATGAAAAGGAAACTATACAAGAGCTGTCTGGAAAGTATCCAGCCACGTGATAATTAATAATGGCTGGATACTTTCCAGACATCCCTCGTATATGGGGCTGTTGTATGCTTGAAAAAAGAAAAAAGACTAAAGAGGTGTGCCACATGTAACATATAAACCTTCATTAAATTCTGAATAAAAAAACTAAAATAGCTACAAAAGCTATTTTGGAGAAAATTGGGTCGTGCTATGCCGTTTTATATAACGTATAAGGGAGTTGACCATTCACAGATGTTAATCTACAGTGGCCGGAGGTGGGGGTTTGCTGGAACCAATGCCTTGCAGATAGCAAAGAATGACTGTGTTTAAAATAGGGTCTGTATATTTGAGGATATTGATGTTGATTTTCTAGCTGCCAGAGTCCGAGGAGAGCTATGCTGAGGTATTTAGGGTTGAAGTGTTATGATACCTGCAACTGACTTTGAAATGAGTCCCCCCAAAATGTGATCTTGTGTGTGCGTGTGTGTTTGTATGAATATGTACATATACATACATCATGTAGTTTGGGGGCTAAAAATTAGCAATTGGTACATTTAGTTAAAGGGTATATGGATATTAATTATACTTTTTTTCAACTTTTTCTTATAGGCTTGAAAATTTTCAAAATAGGAAAAAATGTAGGGAAAAGGAAAGAACTCAAGAGAAATAGTTATTTCAAAAAATTAACACGTTCTAAAAAAAGCATTTTAATGTTTGTTTTCTCCCTCTTGTCTGTTTCTTCTTCCCAGGTACACTGTCAGCTTCTTACTAATCATCACCCAGCTGGGCTTCTGCTGTGTTTATTTTATGTTCATGGCAGATAATTTACAACAGGTAAAGGGGCATCTCCGGGGCAGACAGGGAGAGGGACGGACCTCCTGCTCCTAGGGCTACATTAGCAAAAATACAGGGTTCAGTCCCAGGAGCAGACTGCTTCATTTCTGCTCCTGGGTGAGACCACACTTGGAGGTTCTCTCAGTCCTGGGAATCACATTTTTAAATTGATTTTTAAAAGATCATTGAGGAGCCCAAGCAATTTCTCCAGAATGTAATCAGGGTGAAGAGAGAAGCCTGTAAACATGTGCAATCAGAAATAATTGAGACTTTTTAGCCTGGAAACCACTGGTGAAAATGACCTCAGGCATGTCAGGATTGGCGTGTAGAGATGCCTCACTGAATACACAGGCAGCTGAGCGGCAGCCTTCCCCTCCCTGTATTCCTAACAGACATGACAAATCAGTCACGGCGTTCTTTCTTGGCTTTATGGAATTGAGGCGCATACTCATTGCTGTGCCCCCAAGCAGCCAGAAGGAACTATGTATGACAAGTGTCATAGATGAAATACTCAAGCAGATGGGATTTCTCCCAAAATTCACACCTTTATTTTATTTTATTTATGGTGATATTTTGATATATGTTATACAAAGCATAATGATCAAATCAAGGTAATTGGGATACCCATCACCTCACACATTCATCACTTCTTTGTGTTGGAAACACTCTAAATCTTCTTTCCTAGCTATTTTGAAGTATATGGTAAATTCTTGTTAACTGTAGTCATCTTACAGTGCCATCAAACACTTACTCCGACCTAATGTGTTTTTCTACCCATTCACCACCCTCGCTTGGATAAAGAAAATGTGAGATAGATGTATATATATATCTATCTCACATTTATACATTTAGCCATGAAAAAGAACAAAATCTTGTCATTTGTGGCAACATGGATGGAACTAGAGGACATTATGTTAAGTGAAACAAGCCAAGACAGAAAGACAAATATTGCATGTTTTCACTGACATGTGGAAGCTAAAAAAAATTGATCTCATGGAGGTAGTGAGTAGAATCAAGCAGATAGATTTTCCACAATATGTAGAGCTTTCCAACTTCTAGGTCTATTTAATATTAAAGAGTTAGACACATGCATACAAAAAACAAAACACAACTATAGCCTAGGATGAAGAAGGGAGAGGGAGGGAGA